TTAAAGCACCGTCATACATATTGGCCACCCACTGTTGTCGTGTTTCTCGACGTCAAAGGTGCCTTCGATTCCGTTGATCAATGTGCCTTTTGGAAATGTCTACTCAGGAATGGTGTGCCTGAGAAATAGGTAAATATTATCCGAGCATTATACGCGCGTAGCACGGGCAATGTGAAGGCTTACGGCAAGATATCGCTTCCCTTCAATATCTCCAGCGGTGTGAGACAAGGATGCCCGCTGTCACCTTTCCTCTTCAACTTCACTATCGAAGAAGTCATGGAAATCGCGCTCACAGAACATTACACAGAAGGTATGCAACTGCACCCAGGAGAACGACTTCTCGACTTGGAGTATGCAGACGGCATTGCCCTCATCTCTGACAGCTCCCAGACGTGCCAATCCGCGCCGGACAGATTAGCACTGGCTGTCAGCCGCTTCGGGTTTTGCTTTGCACCATCGAAATGTGAAGTGTTCTTCAAAGATTGGCGAGGAACGCCTCCTGTCTGACCCCTATTGTGGATCTGTTAGAAGTCCTTCGGAAATTCCACTACCTGGGACGTTTTTGCAGCTCCCTTGGGATCAAAGACGTGATCACGAACCGTATAGAAAAATCTGGAAGTGCTTTTTTTAACACCTTCGCCACGTATAGCGGCGGCACGACATTACTCTCGCTCTGAAGGTTAGGGTGTACAATGCAGCGGTACGTTCGACCCTACTGTACGGTTGCGAAACCTGGCCCCTGAGATCGGCGGACCCGAAGAGGTTAGTTAAGTTTGACCACCGGTGCCTTCGCAATTTTGCTAACATCTGGTGGGAATACAGCGCGAGTAACGAGCGTGTTCAACGCCCTGTTTAGGGCACAGAAAAAGGAACTGAACCGCTCAGCACCGTCATTTCACGCACCAGGCTCCGATGGCTGGGCCACGTGTTGCGCATGCCAGCCCACCGACTTCCACGACGTGCATTTGTTTGCTCGCCGGGGTTGTGGATGGAAGAAGAGGAGGGGAGGCTAAGCGATGACTTGGTCCAGAGGAATGAAGACCCTCACTTCGGAGCTGGCTTCGGTTGGAGCGTCACGGCTCACTGGTTGGGGTCCATAAGGTGGTGAAGAAGTTTGGCTGGATACAATTGCTGACATGGCAAGGAGCCGACCTCAGTGGCGTTTGTACTGTGAGTTTCTTTGTCCCTTCGCATCCCTTTTAGGGTCACTCTCAACCTACGAGCTCCTTTCGTAGCGTAAAGCATAATAATTTTTCTTTTTGCCTAGTAGCAGGCTGGTAGATTACCGGAACGATGCGTATCAGTTGATGGTAGCTCAGCTGGTATGCAACTGTCGTATATTTTCTCTTTCTTTATGTATTGCGGCAAAGTAGCTAAGGCGTTTCCCACCTTAAGCTGACGTGTAGAATGAAAATGCTTGTTACACCTTCCAAAATACTGGCAGAAATTTTGTTATTTTTCTATGTTATGACTTAAGGTAATTTCAGTAACCCGTGGTTAAACATTTAAAATTTGGACATGACAATTTTCCCCCTTCTCGTCATACTTCTCAATTATTACATTTCATCGATTTTTTCAGAAAAGGCGCCTAAGTAGAAGGGTTGATTTATCACATGCTTTTTGTTCAGCGCCTTATCTAATAATTCAGTTGGTCCTTTTCTCATTTAGGAACATCTAAACATTCAGGTTGATAAGTTTTGTAGGGTGTTAAATGGCGGAGTAATGGGCGAAACAGAGACCAGCCACAGACAATCTACTTTCCTTTGACGCGGTTGAAATTTATTGGTTTAATTGCTTTCTCTTATCTATAATAATACCCTTACTTTACCTCTCACGTATACTTACTGATGTAATAAGAGCCATAGAGTGCTACATCTGCAGTTGCTTGATTGGCACCTTTGTGTACGTTACATATTCTCCTCGCCCACCTATTTTGGTTGATGCAATTTCTCAGTACATGCAAAACTGTAGTGAAAATACGTAACATTAAAAAAATGTATTTGAAACATATTTTTACTTTTACTATTTCTCGGTATTTGCTCACGCGCATGAACTGCCTCTCCCTGAGCTTGTTCCCACCAACTCCTGTCTTCTCTGGATTGACGTCAAACTTGCCTCTCTGCCTAGATTGCACCATACCTCCGCTGTCTGTCTGGTGTGTTGGAGTAGCAAAACTTGAACCAAACGGAATTTGTTACACATTTGGTCTGTTAATCGTACATGTGTTTCTTCCAGTCAGTTGACCATTTGTCGTTTTGTCTTTTGTCAGTTCGATTGCTTTAAATGGCGCTTATTGTTCGCCTACTGTTGTTCGGTCCAATCCGCCAAACTCTGGTCATAACTTGGGTTGCACATACTTTCCTCGTCAAGCAGACCGGTGTGGCCGTGGTCAACAAGGAACTTGAGCTTGTCTAGCCATTTGTCGGACTGCCATGAAAAGACGTCGTTTACAAAAACGACCATGTACTTGACTTGTGTTTGCTAAGATGAGGTCTGGCAAATAATCGGGAAGACCATTACATGTGAAATGAGACATCCTGCATATGATTTCCTGTAGAAGTCATCCCATATGATACGAGATTAAGTCGATGTAGCTTAAACCTATTAGCAGCTTGCCAGATGGTATCTTGTATCCGTTGTGGAAAAACTGCTATAATCAAGGTGCGGTCACCGCAAGTAGGTACTGTTTCAAATAAAATATGTTGCTTGTATTTTATTATCATCAATATTTTGTAAAATAAGAGAAAAAAATGTTTATGGATCGTCGGTACCTTTTTCTAAATGTAATATTACAAAAAGTTCCACTGTTGAGTACCATTCTATTCATCTATTATCTTGTTTCTTGACGCCTGATTCAGCAACAAATTAACAACCTGGAATTCGGCTTCAACAGAAAACAGACCACAGCTGGGCCTATAGATATTTTAGTCAATCTGAGTGACACATTCGTTGCCAGAACCTCAGAGATCTTCGGTGAATTCAACAATTTGCAGACTGCGATAGAATCCTTAGCAACAGATGTCGTCGAAAAGGTAAAATTTGCATCATTTACCCGCTACGTTCTGCTCTTTACTTTTGATGATGATAAAAGTCATGCAAAACAGGTTAGTTTTGAGGCGGGTAATTTTTTCTCACAATCTCATATCCTTACATGGACATTTCTCATTCATCCAGGTGCAGAAGCGAATTACCTTGGAGAAACACTTCAGTGGATTACACTCAGTCTGGGATAAACTTTACAAGGATTTAATTAAACCAGCGGCCATCAATTTGAATTTTATGCAACACACCGTCGATAAGACAATTGAAAGATTGTCGCTGTTGATCGCAGCAATCGGATTTCTCTGCATGGCTCTAATATCCATCATAATTATCATTCTGTTGATCCACCTGCTTTTGTGTGCGTTGGAGGCACGGAGAAGAGGGTTGATTCGTAAGCCGATTCTATGAATTTAATGTTCAAAACGTAACTACAATCGCTATTCTTTTTCTCGTACAATAAGTTTGTTATTGGCATAGGTTTCCGACTTGCAAGCTACCCTAATGTTTCGAATGTTTTGTTATGTTACGCCTAGCTGTGCATTCTACATATAGGATGAAAAGAAGGTCCAGAAATTTATGATGTGCGTTAGTTTTATAAATTCTCAGTATGTGGTTCCCAGCAGTAAAGTATGACATCAGGTGAGAAAACAACATGTTATGGATGATAAGCGTTTCTCAAGTTTCACAAGTGCCCTGTCACCTTTGCTAGAAATTACACACTGGCCTGACTTGAAAGTATCAAGAATTGTTTCATATACCTATAATATATATGCAGCAGTAGTGATTACACTAGTCTTTTCGTTGATAGCCCATGTTCAGTCATATTTACAATGTAAGGAATAGATGAAGTGCGGTAGTAACCTCAAAGGAACTCAAGCTTTCAACAGCCACAATGCATCCATTAAATATGTTGCGTGTGTCTGAAAATCTTCCCACTGTGTGTTCAAACATAATCCTGACTTAGCTTTGTTACCGCCGAATAAATGCGTGTACTTGCACAGAGTTACGCGCGTGTTGATTATCATGGTTTACTGAGACGAAGTAATGCCACAAGAAAAGTACTTTTCCCCGTGGAACTGACACTAATATTCAGGCTTTAGCCTATATCGCTCAACACTTAATACATTTCGTAATTTGTTATCCAGTACGCGGCGCATTGCAGTTGATATCAGTTACTAGAAGTCTGATTGGTCGCAGTAAATTCCTGATTCATTGACAATAAAATTAGCATTCATAATCAATTTGGAACACTATATTTAGACCATGCTTGTTGGTGATCCGTTGATTTTGCATTCAAACTCCCGCGCTTTACGCAGCGATCAGACAGACTGATCAATTCTGGCTTAACATTCCAAGGGTATGTAAGTATTCGTAGCAGTTAGCAGGATACGAATGAGAGTAATAGTTTTTCTAACTTTATTAGGATGTCATTGGGATAATTTATGAGATGTCTTCCATTAATAGTCAAGTCGGCACAAGAAATTGCTTTATGCATCCAGGACAGATGAAAATTTAGTTGACAGAGAAAATGAATCTACAGCACATCAGGAAAATTTCTTTTTACATGCTAACTTAAGGTGATTTAATCTTAGGAGAGATTTCATAGTCAAAATCATAGAACGCTGTTGCCCTACCACCAGTAATACCATATTTTACTTTGGAGTTCAAGATACCTTGTTATTCATCACGGACCTTATAAATATCAAATGCAGTTTTAGTCAATAATACCATCTTACGCCAGTGTTAACCTTTCTGTACTGTAGAGTAATGCCATACGATTTCTTCTGACCACGTGTCCGGGGGAAATTTAATCATATATTTGGCTTCATTTATAAATTTTGTTTAATTTTTAAAATTTTTCACATTTTATATGTTTGATGTGAACTGTGCCCATATAGCCGCGAATATATTCATGACTTTTCCTCGCAGGTAGTTGGTCGGGTGAAAAATGCCAACTTATGAACGATAGCGTCGATTCGCGATTGACGACCCCAGAATGCCGTGGTTCCAAGCATGTGTCATGTGGTGTCTCGGTGATTGCATTCTTCGGCATATTTCTCCTCCCAATGGTTATGTTATCCACTCTGATCACCACCATTATTATTGTAACGAATAACGAACTCTGTAAGTATTTGAGCAAACCATCGGCATTGAGGATCACAGACGCGGCTATTGATCTGTTCGTGGAGTATGAGTGGTTCCGATTAATTCCACTTGAGGCTCAAAAGCTGATGCAACTGCGGGCACCAAAACAAATTCTGAATGGACTTCTCTACAAGTGTCAACCGAAATCTGAGACCGATTTTATACCGCTGATTCCAGCACTTGGTCTTGATAACCTGGTCAACGTGACCACTATCCTGGATCATATTCTGAATGCAAATATATTAGAGAAAGCCGGACAGTAAGTAATTTACCATTAAAAATCTCCAGCGTAATACGTTTAATATATATGAATGAAAAACTTAATCAGCGTTATTGCGGGTAAAACATTTGACTATAATATCACTAATCTTGGTTCAATCAAAGGTTGCTATTAACTAAGTTTGTTGTACTGTGTAGTAACTTCATTTAGACAACATTCATACGGTAACAAGACTATTGTTCAACTTTCCTTTAATTTCCAGCATATTTTGTTACCGAATTTCACAGTATTTATAGTGTAAAGAGTCTTATTCCCGCAAATATGTGAAAAATAGTTATTTCCCTTTTATAAACACCGTTGCACCTGCGGAATGGTATTCAAAGGAACAACCGCTGCCCAGATCTGCATTGGCAAATTTCATAAGGCGCAACACACATACTTCAACCCTGCGTACATAGAATCTGTTGGTCATTATGAAGCCACCAGTTTGGTCGTAAATTTTGCATTTATACGAAATTGATACTCTTCTTCAAGTATCTAATCCAACATGATCTAACCGGTCACAGGACTGACGAAACTATATAGCAAAACAAAAAAGGATATTTGACGTCGTAACCATTTTATCAATCACACTATTTCTATGATACCGACGGGCACAGCATCTGCTAGGTGTCATTTCAACGGTGGCCCACTATAGCTTACCTGTGGAATGGGACGGATGGAAATAGCAATTAATTCGAAAACTCGGAGTTGCTCGCCCGAAGGCGCTGCACGTTGCCTTACGTTTTAAACTCATTTGATCTCATAATGCAGACGACAGCCCACGAATTTGAGACCTTTGGGGTGTTGGGTGGGACTTCCACTACATAGCCAACGGGTCACGACATACAGCGCTTGTCACAACGGTTAGTAACTGAATGCAGGATAAATTGGAGATACCCGATAACCATCTGTTTCCGCTACGGTCTAAGCGAACTTTAAAATAACCCTCCAGTTTGCAGCCTATTTGTTGAGAATCGGTTTGGTCCAATTATTGCATGAGATCATGGTATATCAGACCAAATCAAGGTACTCTGAATTAGTCGTTGATGCTTGCAAGAAGTTGCAATTTTAACGACCATCATCACGTACAAATTTAATCTGTTTTCACACCAATGGCAAAAATGTTGTTAGTTGTTATAGGTCAATGTATATCGTAGTTACAGTTGCAAAAGGCATACGTATGCTTCCTCAACAACATAAAAATCACTCCAATCAGACGTTTATCTCATGACTTTCTTATGTGGATCAGCTCGGGTGAAGCGGAAAAGCAACCAACCAGCCGACAATGGTTTGCCTCGCCAACGGCCAACTATTACTACATCAAAAGCTAACGAGCTACGCTTGTTCCATTCACTATAACTGAGGCACCAATAATGCATTATCAGTACTTCTTGTGGTAAGAGATAACAAACGGCCCACTATACCCTCGTCATTAAATAAATGTTACAGACGTATCGCATGCAAATTTAATATCTCAATCAACTCGGTTAAAAGAAATATATTTTATAAACTAATTGAAAGAATTAAGATTTTATAAATACACGTTTTGGAATATATTTTTGTAAGTAACTAAACATTGTATGATTTGTTGGCTTTAAAATTCACCGACCCGCCAAGCGGCCGTAATCTGGAAAAATACTGATTTCTATTTTTGTAGTTAATGTATTATTATTATCCTTCCCAACCATAGAATGCAATATGTATCATTGGACCCAGTCAGAAGTACGTTTAAGCGACAGTTTAGTTTACCCTACGTCTTGGGATTTACTACAAGTGGGTTTCAGATAAACAGTGTAACCTTCACCGGTCGAACGTGAAATGTCACGTAACCAAAGATCCCGAAAGTTGAACAAGTTTGAAGCGCGACAAATACGGTACTAGTACAATATTTACAATTTAATAAATTGGGCAAACCTCAATTTTTCAGGATCCCGATATATCACTTTCAATACGGTTTCAAAACAGGGAAGAAATTGCTGTTCAGGCCAGACAGCCGGAGGACAAATGGACAAGCTATAGACGTGTGAAAGTATTAGCAAGCCACTGGTCCATCATCTATAATCCAATACCAGACTGAGGAAAGAGAGAGTAGTTAACAGAAGGCACACATGCGAGTAAACATGGTGTTAAAGTTGATGACCTGAGCATCACTGAGATAAAGTGGTAGTTAGTTACAAAGTTATGGAGATAGCGACATCCTACGTAGCGCATGGGGCATCAGTTGCCAACGTAACAAAATTAAATGAGGTCAAATATCGTTAGGGAGTTAATGGGGTATGTGAGGTGTGAACCACTTAATAAGAGTGTGAGCGTAGAGTTAAACAATCATCTAAGCAACTGCATAGGCTGTAAGGGGATAATCGTATTCTCCGGGTATTTTGAGAACTTGCTTAGGTGCGTAAGCTTTCCTCTCAACCACCACGGGAAGTCATTGGAAGGATAGAAAAGCACAACCCAAGTGCCAGGCGACAGCAAATTTCAGATGAAGTTTCCACTCAAGCAACAAACTTGCACGCAATGCGGAAGGCAAAAGTCCTTATTTATTGGGAGTAAACAGGCTATTACTTACCAAATTCCAAGAGATTTTCACGATTGTAACTATACACTTTATTTCAATCTCTGCACTCTCATGAATTTCGCATACGAACAGATGCAACTGGTTTACTGTCATTTGCTGGCTAACTCGAGATACCGCATGAGGTGAATTAGGTAAGCTATTATCGAGTGGTTTTCGAATGCTGGTAAATTTGTGGTGACAAAACATGACTTCCAAAAACATCTCATGGATGACATAGTTGCTAATGTACCCGCCATTTGCATTAAAAACAATTGAACCACTTTGTGGCCTCCGGTTAGGGGACACCCAGTTTTAACCATAGTTATGTTTTCCAAGGAAAGCACAAAAGGGAACCAAAACAATCCTTACCTCCAAATACCCACTTTCTGAACATACAAAACCTGCTTGTGTGGGATTAGCTTACCTAAAATCTACCTCCCGACACGATTGTTGGATGGTGTAATTGGATTATGCTGAATGACCTGAGAGTTAATGGTAAGTTGGATGTTTGAAGACATTCAGTTCCCTCGCTCCGTAGCGTATCCAACAAAGCCTATTTTACCCGTCCAACAGAACGATAACCACACATTGATTTGTTGTGCATAACTCATCTGTCCTTCGTGTTTACTTTTGTGATGGCTATAGTGGTCAAGATATGTATTTTGAAAGCCGACGCCGTCGTGATTAGTTAGACTGAGTTACAGATGTGCTTTCAGGAGAGGTTTACTGAATTGTTGTTGCTATTTTGACACAAAATAACTGTATGCTGACGATGAAAGCACGAACAGGCTACATCCGTGTTTACTTCTATTGCAATGTAGTTGCAAGTGCGAATTCCTCCAGCTCCTCTACTTGGATCCTTCAAAGGTTTTCATACTAATTTCCTTTTGCAGCGTAGGTAAATGAAAGATTAAAAAGTTGTAGTAGAGGGATTTGTACGGCCTGTGTGACAATCAGATATGAACACTAATTCAGTTAGTGTAGTTGGATCATCAATGGGCTGCGTTATTTCCAAGTATGTTTCCCATGAGCGCACTATTACATTTAGTAAATTAGTTACCTCGGTCAATACTCTAAGTTGAAAATTATTAACAGTTGAGATGATGGGTCACGCACCACTGACGTTGGCTTCCTGCTAGCAATTGTGGGACATCGTATGGACGAAACTACCTTTTAACCCTTTCTAAATAGGTGGGGAGCAACCGATTTGGAAGGTGTTATTACGAAATCTCTGTCAGAAATTAGTGAGTGTGTGCATATTACTCCAGATCAACGTTTCACACACCGGACGAGCAAGGGAATTCTATCTACTGCGGTGGTATTTTGGTGGAAAGCGGATATTAGTTGTCTATAAATATCGGTCGGTTCAATAGGCTTAAGTGGTGGCGTGGTTTTGAGTGGCTTTCAAAACAATTTGACCTTAATTCCTTAGGTTGGTGATGTGTAAACATACTAACTCATTTCCCTGCCTCGGAGGGCTGCTGATCTAATGATCATTTCACACCGTTTTTCTGGAAGTGAAGGTTGCAAAGGAGACAGGCGAGACAAAACAGACAAGAGGATCAGGAGTGCACTAGAAGCAACACTTTTAGCGTAGGGATAAAGCTTGTATAATGGTTTCAACTTTCCCTTAAAACGAAATGTTAAGAGCTGACTGTGTATAGCCTAGTGCATATCCAAGAAATAGCCTCAAAGTATGTGACAAGGGTACCCAGAGAAAGCCAAGGTATTTATTGTGTCATTGATAGCATTCTCCTATGTGATTTCAGAGGAGTTGACATAGTAATTATGGTAAGGTATTCATCCCGATAGTTCACAAGCTACATAGCACAGCTTAGTCCGGAAAAGCACCAAACGCGTTTCGCCCGATTGGGGCTCGTCAGTGGTGCGCATTCCCTCGGTCCTCTAAGGAGGCAGATGCCGACTAATCAGCACCTTATGTCACTGAACCATGAGGGACGTCGGCTAGTCTACATAATTTGCAAACTAACTGGGATATAGCACTATCACTAACAGTGGTTAACCTGCGAGTGGATGACCCCCTCTCACTAGACGCTATATCCATAGCATTTGAATCTAAGTGAGACTATTTAGTTGGTTTTACTCGTAAGTAGCAGGATTTTGGTTGTAATTATTGTAAGATATTCATCCCGAATTGACTTCAGACTCAGAGAGATATCTTGAGAGCCACGTAAATCTCCTATGGGCTCAACATATTCCCGATGTTTCCCAGAAGTTTGTTTCAGATCATGGAGTACGCAACCAGAGGATAGCTTAAATCCATTCCAGTTCTTCTTTTAGATCCTATGACCTGAGTACTTTTGGCGGTATGGCATACTTCTTATCTAGCACACTTCCACCAACTTTCGGCATGCTGTTTCCAGAGCATACTCTTCAAACCAACGGCAAACATGGATTTTTTTATACCAAGCTTAACACAAGCAAGCATCGTAGATTCTAGGGATTCTAAAACATGAAAATGCACTGGTCTGTCGATAGTATATATTTATAACATTTATGTAAGACCCGATCCCGTGAAAACAGCATACTTATATTTGAAATGTTTGTTAATCAGTTTCATTTCCTACTTCAGAAAGATGATGAAGAAAATTCTTAAAGCTGACTTTGTTTCCTACATACAAAGAGATATGAACAACATTTTACCGACTGCCGATAATGTGCTTGAAATTCTGGATGACATTAGAAACATGGTGAGCATTGGTAAATTGTACGAGTGCATACTTAATGCATAGCTAGTTATTGATTTCTGATATGTAAGCGTGATCCCTGCGTTGTTATTTGCTTAAAACTCGAATCATGATGCACCAATCAATGGCTGCAAAAAATTCATGAATTCACATGGGAGCCAATGAATATAAGTCGATAATTATTGATACTTTGGGGATAACAACCGTGTGGGATTTTAAACATCAAGCATTGGAGTCCGACAAGGACTAGTGAACCAGGCCGAAACGAAAATTAAGTCTGCGTTTGCCAGTCACCTTCTTCACAACTGAATACCTCAGCTGAATTTTGATGACGTGAGCGTTTCTGTCGCTTTCTCATCTATTTATATACATGAAGCCACTCGGTTAATAGAGAAGCTGTTACAAAATCAATAGGAGTTTGTAATAGCATACGTTAGGGTAACTACCATATTCCTGCGAGTTCACTTCAGGGAGCACTGAACAGCTACAGAGTAAATGATCTGCTATTCTTCTATGCGGATTACCGCCTTGCCACTTTAAGGCTTTACCCTCCGAGTCTAAATAATAGGCGGCAAGCACGTTAGCCGGTAGATTCATCTCCAGGCCGCTTCAATTTAAGTCTATTCACATATTTCATTATGAGGTAGGACTGTTTAATAGCAGCGTCTTCGCCGACTAATTTACCGAGCTTTGTTAAAGTGTAAATTGTATCCGGTTGTTGACATCCCATTTAAGTTCATCACACGTTTTGCAAAGATTCAGGAAAGCCTAATAGTTTTAATCGCAGTTGTTAAGCCATGCCTAATTCGGTGTTGTAGCAGGGAGCGTGCTTTCCTTGGTGGTCTGAGTCTATCATCTGTACAATATAAATTAAACGGCAAACTAAAGCAAACATTCACTCTTCATGCCAGCTAAGAACAGCTGCATGGTTGCGTAACAGTATGGTAGAATAGTCTGCAGGCGGCGGTGCAAACCTCCGCCTAAGTTATTTCCGCATGCTGTTCTTTTAGAGGCAGATCTCACTTGTTCCATTTAACGGTTGCAAAGTATGGTTGCCTGTAGCTGTCACCTAACCGCCAAATTTCGTTCTATCTGCTACGCAGCTGGTCCAACTCACGAATTCGAAATGATCCCATCGTGACTGTGTGTAACAGGAACAAGCCAAAGCGCCATCCAACGGCTTGTATTCCTACTGTAAATTTGCGTGCTTGAAACTTGAAGCAGCGTCAGTTATGCACTGATCATACATTCTAGTTGGGTGACCAATATTCGTATCCACAGTGTATTATAGTCTCTTTCCGGCGTGTTGTGCAACCAGTTTCAATTTCTGCATTCGCCGTAGATAAACTGTAGGTCGTCAATATAGCTGAGAAAACCAAGTGCATCGTCACACAAGATCCGTTATTCCTACACATCGTGCCGTATTAAATGTTATATTTGATGCTGTTGACACATTCACTGTGTCAAGGTGTCGTGCGATGCACTCCGTGCGTGTATAGACAGATGGACGGAAGGAATAAAGAACCAACATCACCCAGTGTGCTAACAAGTTATTCCTACAGTTATCAAGCCGGGGTATATGCGATGAGCTAAAACCCGGACCACGCTAGATTGACCAGTGTACATCAGCAGATGATAGATAAAACAACGAAGGTCAGACTGGCTTAAACCTGCAAGTCTTATGTTTTTTTGTCAATACCTTGCCCTAAATATCGGTATAAGCCATAAGTCGAGCAATAAAAAACCTAACAAATATGAGTGAAACAACTTTCGACATTCGTAAACCTTTTATGTGGTTCATTCTTAAATGCTGTTATGACTAACCCTTAGATTAAACAGACGTACTTGATATATAATTGAATTTAAAATAAGTTGTATGACATTAATTAGCAGGGTTTAACTGCGTTACAGCAGTGGTGGTACGACGCACTACGGGGCTAAAACGACAGGGGATGAAAGGTCCAGTGGATGAATTGACCTATGGAAAATACAGTTGGGAGAAAGCGTCTTCAAATAGACACACACACACACACAGTGAGGATGGCAAAAATCTGGTGTAGTGTGGTAATAGCGTGGGACATAGACTAAGAGCATCTGTGGTAAACTATTGACATTCTTTGATTCCATTACCTTGAATATGCTAAGGGGAAATATGAGCTTCCATCGAGCACCAGTTCTAATCCACTACTGGTACAGATTTATCAGATTTAACATTTATATAGAGGCACTGATTACAATCAACAGATCATGCTGGTGTTCAGCTGATCACCAATAAAAGTGTCGCAGTATTCACCAGAAAACTTGATCTGGATGCCTTTGTACGAATGTGTGCAACAGTGCTTATTCGGATGAATCACAGGATACACTAACGTGACATGTGATGAACGTGAACGCATTTTTGAAAATAAGTATACTGAAATAGAGTTGAGCAGCCATCATATTCTTTTTCAAGTTACAAAGGCTGATTGTTCTCACTGTACTGTAAGTAATTAAAATTATTAATCAGGTTATAGAGGCGAAGTTAAATACTTTAGACAGCTGCACAGCCAAATATCTGGCAGAGTTATACCATTGGTTCGTCACTAACACCATGTTTATATTAAATAAAACCACTAAATTTGCTATCGCTATTTGTTGATAACATTTCATAGCTTGTGCGGTCACCATGTAAACTCCACGAAACGAGACCTCTGTATGTTGACCGTCACTGGGTGTTGTACTTTGACCATTAGTGCTATGGCAGTCAGTAATAAATCAAAACGGCAGGGGTCCGAGTGAGGTGCATCACTGACGAGTCCCAGAAACCCGAAACAGCGATGTCTGATGCTTTTCCAGATATCAAGGCCTGTTCACTAAGCGTGGGCTGTGATAACTTTCCCCTGAAACGAATGATCGTTTGTTGCACTGAAGTAAACGAAGTGACAAGCAAGCGGATTTCTGGGAAGAACGTTTTCACAGGTGTGACAATGGCGTAAATGGGTGGTTGGTCATACAGATTAACATTGTAATCTTTAACCCTCAATTTATCCGGATATTTCGCTCTCTATGTTGGATATCAAACAGTCGACGGTACGAAAACTACCTCCCCTTGTTACCTGCCGCCTGGAGCGGACCTCCCCTCCACCTATGCTACGCCGTTGCAACACGTCTAAGCACCAATTTATTTGTACCTGTCGCGAGATTGAGGCTTAGGAGAGTTTATCCGGTTCTACTTTGTTTCGGCATATGGGTGAAACCAATTGAGGTTAGTTATGCTATATAATTAAAGTTATGTAAATAGAATCGTAAATTTTATTTCACCTCTATGCTTGGAACCATATAGCATCGGTCGTTAAGAGTAAGTCAACATTAGAGCACCACGAAAAGATCTCAGCTAAATGAGTTTGAAGGAAACCATTCGCCTGCTACGTTTTCTGGAAAGAAGTAGCCAAAGTAAGGCGGTAGAATCATTTTGATTAGAGCAAGAGCACAGGTAGCAATCTCTAAAGCAATAAACACGAGTACTTGGAGAGATACAATAATGTACGATGAGATCTACAGCGGACTAGGACGCTTTGTCGTCCATAAGGATCTTCAGACGAACAAGCAAAACAATTGATCAATGAGTAAGCAAATAGATAATTTTGACCAAAAATGTCACAAAGAATGCTTCGTGCTGTGATGTAATACAACGCTGGTAGAAGTGTAGTGCACCCACAAATCATCTCCTTAACACACCCTGTGCAATAGTACACAAGATACAGCAACCGCTAATCGCTCTAACGCACGCGACTCTCAACGAAATATTCATGCTGTTGGCGGAATCTCCAATAACTCATCGGATCTACATCAAAAATGCTATCGACTCTCTGTAGATCGAGTAGTGGTTGACAGGCTCCCAGCAATTGGTGGTAACGCGGCACATAGGTAAGTGGAGGAGGCACGACTAATTGACAATAGTTTATAAACATTTATCCCTTTCTTATATCTGGCACATGACTTGGGATAGCGACCTATTCATGGTTGTTCGGGTTCTCTTCCATTTCCAACCGCGACTTGGCGATCTCCAGCGCTGTTTCTGCTTGCTTTCTCTTAAGCGCCGTCAGCCTTAAAGCTGAACATGCACAAACCGAACCTCGGGACTGACTACCCTTGCAGTTATTATGCGATCCAGAACAATAAACATTATCATCGACAACAACCAAATATCCAGGTTGTTGGGATCAAAGTGTGTTCTTTTCCGCATTCGTAGACGTCTCCGTTCTGTTTTCCATTATTCGTCCAACAGGTGATGTCTTCTGAAAAAGGACTGTTGAACATGGTAAGCATCAAAAGCGAATAGGACCGTTGGGCGACTCGTACGGTACCGATCTGCTGCATCCGACGTTTTCAATAATCGAAAAAGGCCGAAAGCAGCACGCCCTACCCATGAAGACAAGCCACAGTCGATCCTGAAGTACAGTGCTATGATACAAACAATAGAATATCATAAATGCAAGCTGGATGGGTGGTATGTGTCACAGGTCAGCACGTAGGTGAATAGATGTTTGATAAGTGAATCGGTCATTAACCGAGATAGTGTGTAGGAGAGAACAAGTATCATGGAATGATCGGGAGAGCAGATTATGAATCAGCAAAAAGAGTAATAAGACTGGTGGTACATTAAACGTTAGTTTGGCATAGAAAACAAGTAAAAGAGCACATGCGTGAGACATTCATTGATGGAGATCAACGGGGGAACTAAGGGAATTGGATTCGATTGATCACATGCGCATTTCAGAGTCTTCTGGAAGATTTTTATTATGGTTGCATAAACGAACACTTCGGGACAGCAACCATTTAGTGTCTATATTTTGGCAGTGCCTGCAGTATTAGTAGTTCAGAGACATGATGGTCACCGATGCCTGCTGTACGAGTACCTAAAAGAGCATAAAGCGGTCGAAACATGTCGAAACCTGCGATTGTACTGGGCATTGGGGCTCTAAAGAGTGGCATGGTCTTATTTTGGTTCTGTAGATTAAGGTAAAGTGATATGAAATGGTTAACTCCTAAAATCAATGACGCAA